TCCCAGGTTCAAGCAATTCTCCCTCCTCAGCCTCCTGAGTAGCTGGGATTATAGGCATGCCCCACCACACCCAGCTAATTTTTTGTATTTTTAGTAGAGATGGGGTTTCACCATGTTAGCCAGATGGTCTCGATCTCCTGGCCTCGTGATCCGCCCACCTCGGCCTCCCAAAGTAGCTGGGATTATAGGCGTGAGCACCACCACACGTGGCTAATTTTTTTTAGTCTCAGATACTTGGGAGGCTGATATGAGAGGACTGCTTGAGCTCAAAAGTTCGAGGCTGCAGTGAACTATGACTGTGTCACTGCACTCCAGCATGGGTGACAGAGGGGGCTCAAGTGCAGTGGCACAGTCATAGCTCACTGCAGCCTCGAGCTCTTGGGCTCATCTGAAACCCCAAGAGCTATTTTGTGCTCTTGGACGGTGAGATGCATCTGAGAGAAGAGGAGACTTCTGAGTAACTACAACTAAGCCCAGACTCCTCTTCCCTCTCACCCACGCCAGGTTGTCTCATGTATCTATCTCCCCTGGAACAGTTAGGAAAGATGATGACAACTGCCCAAGCCACTGGGCACACCTATGTTGACAAGGGTGCACCTTGTGGCAGGGTAGGGTCAGCAGCAGTGAAGGAATCCTGACCCCAGGCCTAGCATCTGGTGGGGTGGGAGAGGCAGTGTTTGTTAGGTAGGCTCAGCCTCAAATTACCTCTGCTTATAGCAAGCCCAAGCCCTGAGCATCCAGATATCATGGTGCCCTGACCCACAAGCTCAAGAAGGAAACTGGAGGGAGAGGCAATGATGCTGGTACTAAGACATTTATTATCATAAAAAGTCCATTGTTGTCCTGTTTTTCCATATGTACATGCTCCTGTGGGCAGTCTCCCACCTGTCTACCCTCCATGGTACCAGTCAACTCTCCAAACTGACCAACTACTTGGTAAAAGAGGAAGAACTGGAGGAGGTGGCCCAGGGCTAACGGGAGTGGGAACAAAGTGCAGAGTGGTTGGGCTTGGTTCTCAATTCCTGACGGTGGGCAGGCACTGCAGGGCCAGCACATGAATGCCTCACCAGAGCTGCTGGGCTGGAGGCAGAGGCTGCAGATGACAGCTAAGTGCACTCTCAGGCTGAACCTCCAGGAATGGAGCACAGAGGAGGAAAAAGGTCCCACAGCTGATTGGGGGGTCTTAGCTGGGGCTATCAAAGTTCTCTTTTTCAGGTCCCCATCCAAGTGGCAGCGACAGCAGCTCTGACTTGACCTGAAGAGCCTGTGGCCCACAGGGTCCAAGGAAAGCCTGGTGGGAAGCACTGGTCCTGATCTCTGAGTGACCTGCCTTAGTTGACCTCAGAGGTGGGTATAGGATCTGTGGGGCGGGGTGTGGCCAGGAGGGGCACTGGTGAGGTGGCCTCGATGAGCGCAGGGTTGAGGATGATGGGCAGAGTCATGGGTGGCACGCCCACCTGCAATGGGGAGGCCAAGGGCTGCAGGATCAGAGGGGGCTGAGCCAGGGCTGGAGGCCCATCAGGGGTGGGGCTCAGCCTGCTGGGGCTTGAGGCCACAGGTGATCCTGGGGAGCTGCAGTTGGCGGCTCGGGGGCCCTCAGGCTTCTCAAAGTCTGTAGAAAAGCAATGTGACACAGTCAGATTCCCTTGTCGGCATAAGACAACTCACATTGCTCGGCTGGCTGCTTATAGAATCTGTTTCTCTACTTTCCTGTCAGCAACACGCCCCTGCCCCGCCAGGCTAAAAAGTTGGGAGTCTCCCCTCAGAACTCATTTCAGTGTTCAGCTACCCTTTTTGTTTGAGATGGAGTCTTGCTCTGTTGCCAGGTCGGAGTACAGTGGTGCGATCTCGGCTCACTGGCACCTCCGCCTCCTGGGTTCCAGTGATTCTCCTGCCTCAGCCTCCTGAGTAGCTAGGATTACAGGTGCACACTACCACACCCGGCTAATTTTTTTGTACTTTTAGTAGAGAGGGGTTTTACCATGTTGGTCAGGATGGTCTTGATCTCTTGACCTCATGATCTGCCAGCCTCGGCCTCTCAAAGTGCTGGGATTACAGGCGTGAGCCACCGCGCCTGGCCCATGTTCAGCTACCTTATATCCACCTTCTAACCTCCTTTGCCAAGCTATCTTTTTTTTTTTTTTTTTT